CAGAGACGGGACGGGCAGAGGGGAGGAGGTGGGAGCAGGGAGGACAGGGCAGGCCGCAGCATGCGGGGTGTCCCAGGGCCCTCGGGAGAGCCCAGCCCCGAGAGGAGCTCCCTGCGGACACACCTGGCCCAGGCCTCATCGGGAAGAACCCGCCTCCTCCAGGAGGAAGAGCTGGAGCGACCCCACAGGCACACCAGGCCCCGCACACGCAAGCACGCGCACACGGGAGGGAACACGGGCGCTCGGGTGCATGCAGAGTGAGTGAGGCAGAGGGACAGAGGGGGGACCTCTGGAGCCATTACCTGTCGGGAACAGGAGAGAGAGGAAGCGGAGGTGGGGGCTGCGGGCCGCTCCCCAGGCGGGAGCTGCCAGGCCGGCTCGTAGGTGAGGTGGACCGCCTTACTGGGGACCACACAGAGGAGCAGGGACAGGAGGGGGGGCAGCCCGGGCTGGGCGGGCGGGGCCAGCAGGGCAGACAGACAGCAGGTGCACGAGACAGAGGAAGGAGCAGAGGTTAGTGTCCGGTCAGACGCCCAGAACTCAGAAGGGGGACGAGAGGCCCGGCCTGCGCCGCCTCCCCGGATGCACTGAGACACGGGACGGGGCGGGGTTGGGGGCCACCTGGCCAACGGAGACCCCAGGAAGCCCGATCCCACTGGAGCCCCCGTGGGCGCTGGCTGGGTACGGCCTCAAGCTGAGCTCCTGGCTCCACGCTCTTCGACTCCTCTGCGCCCAGGAGCCCCCAACACCACGTGAGGAAGCCGAGGCACCGACAGGTGTCCCCGCTTGCCGAGGACCCACGGCCACGGGCACCCTAGGCCATCGTCCAACCTGAAGCACGTACTCCATGCACCCAGCCGAGGAGGGAGACAGCCCCTCAAAGGCCACGCTTGTCCCGGCACCACAGCCAGGGGGTCCCCAGGGCCCTCAAGTGCAGGGGGTCACAAGGTCGTCCCGGCCTCAGGGCCCGCCTACGGCGTGGGAATGGGGAGGGTGCCAGGCCCCCAGATTGCACCCCGGGAGCTGAGGGCCATAGGTCTCATTTTACAAGGAGCCTCGTGGCCAGAGGACACAGATGCCCAGAGAGGGCAGGGCAGGCTCCAGGCCACACAGCGGAGGGGCGGGGGGGTGTCAGGCCTGGTCCCACCGGGCCCCCTTGCCTGCCTGACAGTGGGACAGTACCCACGGCCCGCCCTCCGCCCCTCACCTCTTTGCCTTCCTTGTCCGGGGGGAGGATGTGGCCTGCAGCGGGGCACGCGATGGGGCAGAGGGCGCTGCTGGTGCTCTTATGGCGCAAGTGGCCCTTGCGGGGCCCGGACTTGGTGGGGCTCAGCAGCTGAGGGTGCAGCTCGCGGTTGGGAGAGGCGGGCGTGGACGTGATGACCAGTGTCTTCAAGGCTGTCACCTCCGCCTGCAGCATGTCGATCTGGCCGGAACGAGACAGCTGCGACCGTAGCCCAGGGTGATGCCGCCCGCCGCCCGCCAGGCCAGCCAAGATGGCAGCACCCAGCACCCAACCCCACCAGGTCCCCACACTGTAAGCGGCCTCTGTGAGGTGCCCCTGTCAGGGAGCCGGCCTCCCACGGAGGGGCACCCAGGAGCCAGGACAGCCCAGCCTCCTATTTTACAGACGCACAGATGGGCCCCGAGACAGGGAGCTACTTGCCCAGGCTCACACAGCCAGACGGAGGTCCCTGCTTTGCTGAGGGTGTGTGTGTGTGTGTGTGTGTGTGTGTGTTGGGGGGAGGGGGGGGGGGGGGTGACAATGACCGTGGATCCTCCCAGCCCCTGGAAGGCCCCAGAAGGTCCCTGTGGCACCGTGAATTTCAGTGGTGGAATCGCGGCCCCACCCCCTGGGCCTCGGTGTGCCCCTCCCAGGCCTGGCGCCCCG